GTTAAAAGTTTACACATAAAATACACATAATAGTCAAATTCGCGTTGCGATAATCAAATGAATGTGTAATAAGTGATAACAACTGAACATATCATAGCAATGTTCAAACTCAAGTTTCTAATACATGCATAACTGAAAATGTTAAAAGTTTACACATAAAATACACGTAATACAATGTTTGCATTTAAAAATCACCTAAGTTAATAGTCCCAAAAGGTGAAGCCGGTTGTGATTGGGATTTTGATTGCGATTTTGATTGCCTTTTTCTTGACACCATATGGACTTTGGATTTTGATGAGGATCCATATTTTGGTAGAGGAAAATATGATTGTGATGGCACTGGTGATCCATATGTCAACCTTGTATAACCACTTTCCTTGCACCGACTACATGTCGATCTCTTCTTATCTTCACCCTTAGACGGTATACGATCGTGACTTTTTGGTCGGCCAGGTAGCCTTCTGTCCATGGCTGGTGGCAAAACTGTTTGTAAGTCATCTGGTATGTCCCACTCAGAAGGATGTGGAATAGGGTAGATAATCTCGGCATATGTCTGTCGATATACTTCTGTAGTGTAGCAATCCATAGCGTATGCGCTTGAATCATCTTGGTTTAGATGAAGAGCAACTTTTATAACATGGCCACACGGATAACTAGATGTTTTCCATTTCATACAACTACACGTCTTTGCATTTAGATCGACAAGCCTATTTAAGTTATTATCCAGTACTTCAAACAAAGTGTTTGAACATGGTTCAACTCTCCATGACGTTGACTTCACAACACGTTTCGTTATCTTTTTTTCAGTCCATGGTGTAACACGATGTTCCAATGTTCCTGTAAATTTAAATAAATAATACTTAGTAAAATATATGATAAGTTACGAATTTTAAGAAATAATACATGCATGCTTTCTTTTATTGTAGTACCACTGTTGAATAGAGGCTCAAAAAACTCTATTAACATAGTAATGGGTAATTTTCGGGAATGACGACTTAGAGCGTTGATTGATTCTGCACTATTAGACGTCATGAAACCATATCTTGCTCCAAGTTGATGTACTCTTGACCATCTTTCAAACCCGACATCTTCTAGTGTTTGAGCACACTGAGGCAAAACAAGTCTTAAACAATTTATATGCTTATTAAAATCCACTTCCCGATAAGATTTTACAGCCTTCCAGTATGTCCATTTGTGATTTTTTATACCAGCAAACCTTGATTTTAGATTTCTATACAAATGAACACCACAAAGGCCATGAAAAGTATCTGGGAAACACCTTCTAACAGCGTTGTCAATTGAGTTTGCTATCGGATATGATTGTCAGATTGCTACTAGGACCTATGCAATCCATAAGATGCCCCATAAACCATGTTCATGAATCAGAGGTTTCATATTTGCCAACCCCGTAAGTTATTAGCAATATCCCATTATTAGCATCCATGGCTACGGCTAATAAGTTTACTCCAAGGTATCGACCTTTTAAATGTGCTCCGTCAACTATAATAATTGGGCGCATGCAAGTAATAAACGAACGAATCTACAAAATCATATACACAAGAAATATAATCATTTAAATATGAAATGCATGCAACTAACAAAAATGAGTCAACAAAATTATATTGATTTACTAACCGCAACACCAATGGCGATAAACAACAACTCAAAGCGTCCATCTCTATCTGTTTTGATATGAGTTACCGACCCAGGATTTTTCAGCTTTAAATTGTGACAATAAGCCGGCAGTTGGGCAAACGATGCTTCTGGCGACCCCCCCTCAACAATTCCAAGGCATAACATTTGGCTCTCCAAGCTTCAGAATATGAGATACTAATCTTGAACCGAGCATTCATGTCAGTCATAATTTCATATCCCCGATATACCATGCCATTCAAAAACATTAACTCATCCAGAAAACCACCCAATACCTTTTTGTTTGCCTGTCTATGGTGAGGAAAAACTTGGGTTCTTGAACATGTATGTTTATCAATAAAAGTCCTAACTTGAAACATTTCGCAATCTTTTATCCTCTTTGCAATCATACGCCATGTACAGTTTTTGTCAATCATACACCTTGTTTCAAAAATGATCTTTGCTTGATTTTTTAACTTTTAGTTGATAGCTATCTTCCACACATTTCGTATACAAAGTTATCTTCAAGTCTTCGTTTGTATCAAAACAATCATCTTTCTTGATACGAATAATTTTTGTGTAACAATCAACTGCTATCTTTACCAACTCTTCTTCCGGTATCTGAAGTAATTTTGACATATTCCAGTTATACTCCCGTGGCATTTTCTTCGGGGACTTTTCTTCGGGGATTTCTTCTTCTTCTTTTTCTTCTTCAGGGTTATATGAATTACAAAAAGAATGTTCAACATGTTCATTCACAGTCGTAACTTCCTCCTCATTATCATCAACAACATCTTCCTCGGCAGCGGCTGTTTCATCATCAAAATTCAGGTATTGACCAATATCAAAATCATTACACGCAGAGTCTGTTTCTTCTTCTGAAACATCATCAAAATCTGAGTATTGACCAAGATCAAATTTCGAATACTGACTAGTACTGACCCAACTTCTAGGTTCAACAACATACAATGTAACATCATCTTGCGAAACACTAATGTAAGCAATGAATCGTTCAACATCTTCATTGTCGGTTAACAAATAAACTTTACCTTTTCTCTGATAAGATAGCCTAAATCCACTTAATGGTTCTAAATTCAATTTATTTGCAACACTTAACATTAGAGTTTCATAAGTTAACCTTTTTTAATGACAGTTTTAGTTGAAGATTCATGGGTAAAGGCATATATTGTAAAACACCATGAACATTCTCCCATGACCCTCCAAAACACAAATATATCCAAACATGATCAACATTAGATGATTTCATTATTGTAAATTAATTTACTAAACAAACGAGCTGCGAAACTAAAACATGTTGTCGGATGGGGAAGGATGTCGTTGGATATATAGGAACGGATGTCGCCGGAGAGAGTGATAGATGGAGATGGAATGAGTTGCGATTTAGGGATTTAGGTTATGAGTTGCTGCTGCGTAGTTATATACCCAAAACATTTGTGTTGCGAAACTAAAACCTGTTGCGAATTTGAAATTCAACGTTGCGACAGTCAGAATCGCGTTGCGATTTACATATTCACATTGTGATTTTCTAAAATCGCAACGCGAATTTGGAAAATCGCAATACGATAGTCAAAATCGCGTTGCGAATCTGGAAATTGATTTGCGATACTGGAGATCGCGTTGCGATTTAGAGATCGCATTACGATTTTGTTGGTCATTTTGACAAATCAAAAAAAAGTTGATCAAAATCGTATATTATAAGAAATTTTCGATCACTGAGATTATTATCTCAAATATAATTACTTGACAACTTTAACGCATTATTATATTTGTATATATAAAATTTACAAGTTTGATTCGTTGTTTATTTTTATATCCTTTTTCACCAAAGAAAATGTTAATATTATTTACACAATTGAAAACTCGATGCTTGTTTGGACAGTTACTGATCCACGTCGTCGGTTCTAATGCAACAGTCAACTATGAGAACGAAAGTCAAAATAACGGACGGTGAGATGGTGATGATGATAAGTATGGTTCACTGGAAATTTTAGCACCCACCCCGGGCATGCCACGTGTAAGATTCATCATTCATTTGATTGGTGAAGTAATTATGTTAACCACAATCATTCCCCTTTTATTTAAAGCTTTTATTAATGAATGTTAGATTTATATTGATCCGAGATGTATAATTTTAATTGTTTTTATTAATTTATAATAAGTATAAGATATAATTAATTTAAAGATAATTTTTTCTCATTTATTTTTAAACGTTTTTATTTTGACATTCATGATATTTAAATTCGAGACTTTAAAGAATAACGACAATTCTTTTACAATCGAGGTACCTTAATTCATGCTACTTCTAAAATATTAAATCCGCATGTTATTTAAAATAGTTTCATGTTAACGTCCATCTCAGACAGTCGTCAATCTTTTAACGAAAATGGACGAATTTGAAACATATGAATATTTAGATAACCATTTTGTAACTTAGAATAGTCGCGTGGACTCAACAAAGCAGTGTCCTATTGTCGGATGACCATTTTCAAACTTTTAATATTCGGGAACTTAACAAAACAACACTTGAGGATCGTTTTAAAAATTTTAATAGTCAATAATGCCTTATAGTTAAGAGGCTATTTCTGTACCTTACCCAAATTTTAATTTATTATTCTTTTAACCTCTCTACAATGGGTTGTTATTAATTTTTTATAGTTATATTTTAAGATTTGTATTATATTTATTTTAAATAGTTGAATTTAATAAAACATGTATTTAAAATTATTTGAATAAATTTTCTTAGTATATATATTCTTATAATTTTTATTAATAGTAAATGTTAAACAAAAAAAATTAACCAAAGAAGTTGATTAAAAAAATTAGTGAACTTTAACTTTAAAAAAATACAATTTATTTATGTGTATGTTTGAGATATTACAATTCTTCATAAACGATAAATTATGGTTTATACTCTGAAAAAGAACTAGCATCAATCTTATACAAAGGTTTTAAATATTTAATATATTGTACAGCTGTTGATAAAAGAATTATTAAAAAATTAAACATAAAAATCTTCAATAATCCCCACACATTCCTTCCTAATAATAAAGTAAATATATTGTATAATAATAAGAAGATAAGAAAGCACACCCATAGCCATATTCCCCAGCACATTGGCCCATTTGTCACCCCCTTTGCCACTCCTCATGGACCATCTCCCTCTTCCAAATTTTAAAGTTGTTTGGTTTGTTCAATTTATGATTTTTAGTGATCATTTTAAATTTTTGAAGTTGATTTTTATATTTAAATTTGATTAAAAATAACAAAGTTTGTGGCAAAATGCAACGACATAAAAGTTGAGTGGCAAGTTTCAATGTTCACCTATAGCATGGTGGTTAATTTGCACTTAAAACCCAATTTGCAAATGATCTTCCCAAAACTACTACATCAATGCATATCCCTTGCTTGCTATACAGATTCTTTATCGAGGGGCAACTTGCAAGCAGCCAAGCTATCTTTCGACTTGATTTTTCCGAGCATTTCAGCAACAGTCCTGCAACGACACTGATTACCAGGCCGGATTACGTCCCCATAAACTGCCATTTCGATAATGTCAAGCTGCTTATCTATCAAGTTGCAAAAACCAGATTTCAGTACAGGAAAATACTTCAAAACTGAGATTATATATTTTACAGGGAGATGGGAAACCACTATGTAACGTGAAAAGTTATTCCAAGATAGAAACAAAGGATGGGATGCTCAGAAGCCAAGGCAAACTGGATGGCGAAAAACAACGAGGCCATAGTTGGGTTGGATCCAAATAAATTAACTGGTCTGATCAATGCTAATATCGATCCCGAAACCAAAATGTTGTAAAGCACCAAGTACCATGTCACTTGGACACACAGATACTGCAAAACAATGGCTCGTTGGATAAATGCTTTTCTGAGTAAGATAGTTATACATCCTTAGTAGTTCAAATAAGCATTCTAGCCTTTTAAAACGTGTTAATATATAGTCATCTATGTCACCTGGACTTATGTGTGAGTGCTACATGTGTGTGTATCCAAAACGGCTACATTCTTAATTTTTTCTAAATTTTCCATTTATTTGGAGGATCCTTGGAAGATCATACCTGCATACCCAATGTCCGAATATGTCCATGAAACAGGTTACTCATGAAAAACGAAAGGAAGGAGAAACATGGGCTTTAATATCATGCAGCTCAGCTTTACTAAGAACAAACTGATGAACAAAGTTTCAACAGTTAGATCTCTACATAGGTTATCCCGAAGACTAAAATTTTGTCATCAAGAAGTTCTCAACTCGCTGATACAATTTAAATCTTCGATTCTCCTATTGAAATATAGATACCTATTTTGTGATACTAGGATGAAATATGATCTTGCTAGTGCTTTCCCTGTCCTATATCATGGTCATACTTCGTCGTCAATCTTTCGTTTAAAATCAATCTTTAGGATGTTGAAAACATAAGTATATATATTGTTTTTAAAATTAAAAGCTACAACAACTGAATTGATAGACTAACAAGGACTTCATGACTTCAAATTGATCTAATTCCGACTAACAAAATGAACCGAAATGGCGAGTTAGAAGTCTACAAGACCCTTGGCAAACCATGAAACTATTAACTAACATTGTTGGGGGATGTGCAAGTAGTCACAGCAAAATCTCTAGTTTAAACTCCAAGCTAACAATAAGGAAATAGCGGAGAACATACCAGTAAACTGGACCTCGCAAGAATAACCTTTCAATCGAGTAGCATCGACATCTTCTTTGTCTGATTTATACCTATTCACCCTAGTTTGAAGAATTTGACAATTTTCAGCTGTGGACTCTCCACCTTTGGAACACATAAACACAACAGAAAAAACTGTAAATCACACTGATACACAATAGATGCACTTGAAACATATAATTATTTGCAATCTAATGAATCTCTTTAAAGCATAATTATAAACAAA